TTTCATGTGTTTATTGGCCATCTGTATATCTTCTTTGGAAAAATGTCTGTTCATATCCTCTGCCCATTTTTTGATCAGGCTATTTGTTTTTTTGTTGTTCAGTTGTGTGACTTCCTTATATATTAAGGAGATTAACCCCTTGTTGGATATATGATTTGCAAATATTTTGTCCCAATTGGTGGGTTGTCTTTTTGTTTTGATCCTAATTTCTTTTCCTTGCAGAAGCTCTTTAGTCTAATGAATTCCCACTTGTTTATTTTTTCTTTTGTTTCCCTTGTCTGAGAAGACATGGTCTTCAAAAAGATCCTTTTAAGTTTGATGTCAGAGAGTGTTCTATCTATATTATCTTCCAGGAGTTTTATGGTTTCAGGACTTATCTTCAAGTCTCTGATCCATTTTGAGATTATTTTTGTGTATGGCATGAGATAATGGTCTACTTTCATTCTTTTGCATGTGACTGTCCAATTTTCCAACACCATTTATTGAAGAGACTATCTTTTCTCCAGTGTATGTTCTTGGCACCTTTGTTGAAGATTAGCTGTCCGTATATGTGTGGTTTTATTTCTGGGCTTTCACTTCCAGTCCATTGATCTGTGTGTCTGTTTTTGTACCAGTACCATGCTGTTTTTTATATTGAACCTGAAGTGAGTTCGCTCACCCATTGCACAGCAAGCCAATCTCTGACACTGGGTGTAGTGGAAGAAAGTAGGAATTTTATTATTGCACAGCGCTGAGCAAGGAGAAAGGGCAGCCAACGCTGAAATCCCAAACTCCCCGAAAAGCTAAAAGGAAGTGTTTTTATTTGGGGTTTTAGGTAGGGGAGGGGGAGCATATGGTCTTGCTGGTCAGAGCTTTCCCACCAGCCTGTCTTTGGCCTTGAGACTACTTGCAGAGAGGAGGGAGCCCATGACCTTGCTGGTCAGCAGCTTTCCCACCAGCCTGTATCTCTTTGCAGGAAGGAGATAGTGAATCCAGGTGCTTGTCCTTGGCAGTATCTGTCTCCATGGAGGATAGCGGATTCTGGAGCCAGGAAGCCAGGGAGTAAGCAGGGAATGAGTGTTTTTGTTTTAACTCCATATATGCTGGGTTTAATGTAGGGAAACTGACATCAGGGTCGGTATCATTTTGATCACTATGGCTTGTAGTACATTTGAAGTCAGGGATTGTGATGCCTCAAGCTTTGTTCTTTTTTCTCAGTATTGCTGTAGCAATTCGGGGTCTTTGGTTGCCCCATATAAATTTTAGGATTCTTTGTTCTATTTCCATGAAGAATGTCATTGGGATTCTGATTGGGATTGCATTTGATCTGTAGATTGCTTTGGGTGGTATGGACATTTTAACTATATTTATTCTTCCAATTCATGTGCATGGAATCTCTTTCCATCTCTTTATGTCATTATCTATTTCTTTCAGTAATGTCTTAAAGTTTTCATTATATAAGTCCTTCACCTCCTTAGTTAAATTTACTCCTAGGTACTTTATTATTTTTGTTGCGATTGTAAATGGAATTGTATTCTTGAGTTCTCTTTCTGTAAGTTCGTTATTAGAGTACAGAAATGCAACTGATTTTTGTAAGTTGATTTGGTACCACGTAACTTTACTATAGTTGTTGATTATTTCTAATAGTTTTCCAATGGATTCTTTAGGGTTTTCTATATATAAGATCATGTCGTCTGCAAACAGTGAGACTTTCACTTCTTCACTTGCTATTTGGATTCCTTTTCTTCCTTTCTCTTGCCTAATTGCTCTGCCTAAAACCTCCAGTACTATGTTAAATAAGAGTGGTGAGAGTGGGCATCCTTGTCTTGTTCCTGTTCTCAGAGGGATGGTGTTCAGTTTTTGCCCATTGAGTATGATGTTGGCTGTGGGTTTGTCATATATGGCCTTTATTATGTTGAGGTAATTTCCTTCTATCCCCATTTTGTTCAGTTTTTATCATAAATGGCTGTTGGATCTTGTCAGATGCTTTCTCTGCATCTATTGAGGTGATCATGTGGTTTCTATTCCTCAGTTTGTTGATGTGGTGTATCACATCACATTGATTTGCAGATGCTGAACCATCTGTGTGTCCCTAGTGTGAATCCCACTTGATCATGATGTATGATCTTTTTGATGTATTGCTGAATTTGGCTTGCCAATATTTTGTTGAGGATTTTTGCATCTATGTTCATCAGTGATATTGGCCTGTAGTTTTCCTTTTTTGTGTTGTCCTTGTCAGGCTCTGGTATCAGAGTGATGTTGGCCTCGTAGAATGTGTTAGGAAGTGTTCCATCGTCCCTAATTTTTTGGAATAGCTTGAGAAGGATAGGTATTAAATCCTCTCTGAGAATTTGGTAGATTTCCCCAGGGAAGCCGTCTGGTGATGGGCTTTTATTCTTTGGGATGCTTTTGATTACTGTTTCAATCTCTTTACTTGTGATCAGTCTGTTCAGATTATCTGTTTCTTCTTGAATCAGCTTTGGGAGGTTGTAAGAGTCTAAGAATTTATCCATTTCCTCTAGCTTGTCTATTTTGTTGGCATATGTTTTTCGCAGTATTCTCTTATAATCTGTTGTATTCTGTGGTATCCATTGTTATTTCTCCTCTTTCATTTCTAATTTTATTTATCTGAACCTTCTCTCTTTTTTTCTTCGTAAGTCTGGCTAGGGGTTTGCCAATTTTATTTATCTTCTTAAAGAACCAGCTCTTTGTTTCATTGATCCTTTCTACTGCCTTTTTTTGTTTCAGTAGCATTTATTTCTGCTCTGATTTTTATTATTTCTCTCCTTCTGCTGACTTTGGGCTTTGTTTGTTCTTCTTTGCCTAATTCAGTTAGGTGTAGTTTGAGATTGCTTATTTGGGATTTTTCTTGTTTGTTAAGGTTGGATTTATATATAAGAGCATAGCGTGTAGATAATTCAGATGGAAAATCATACTGTGGATTATATTGAGAAGTCAATACTGACAAGGAAAAAAAAACTTTCTTAAATAAACTGAGAAGGAACCACCATGCACATATGGAATGGAGTACACAACTTGCTAGAAAACAAGTTAAATGAATTTAGGAGAAAGGAACAGGAAATGCACCTGATGATTATCGCTGGAATGCACAGGTTTTATCTGACCTGCTGTGTTCAGATAAGAAACTTACAGAAATTTGACCATGTTAGGGCCTGTAGAAACAATGTATTTCCAGGAAAATAAGAGACAAGATTGTTAATGAATAAGAATAAAATGTTTAACCAGGAAACTTGTATAAAATTTTCAAGAGGATGAAACATGTTTGAAATGAAATTTTTGCCCACAAAAGAAAGGGACTTTGTCCTTCTAGTTCCTAGCTTGGTTTTAACTGTACAAGTTGGCAGAATTTGTCATTTTCCAAGAAGCAGGGACAACTCAAAACAAAATGTTTGCTTCAAAATTCTTTCACCAGACTCCATAGTTAAAGCTGCTAGCCAGTAATATATATCCTCACATATCCTTTATCTTTCATAAATGCCAGTCATTCTTAGTTTCATGCTTCAACTTCTTTCTAATTGACCTGAATCATAACGTCGTTCTTATTGTGACTGATACTTTACCGAGAGGCAATGTCATCTAATGTTTAACAACCAGGTTTCCTGGGTTTACATCCTGACTCTGCCCCTGCCTTTTATACCTCTGGAAGTTATTTAACCTCTCTGTGTCTCAGTTTCTGCTTTTAAGTGACATAATAACAGTACCTACCTCATTCCTTTTATTTTTTAGTTTTTTGAAAATCCAATGAGTTAATGTATATAATTTTTTGAAGAGTCTCTAGCACATAGAAAGTGCTATGTAAGTGTCAGGTATAGTTATTATCAATTATTCTCACCTATTATACATTCTCATAATTCTCACAATGACCCTGTGCAAAAGATATTTTACAGATAAGGAACATAGTTTCTAAAGTTTGAGGAACTTTTTAAGACCATACAACTAACAAGGAACAGAGTCAGGATTCAAACCTAGGTCCTTCTCATACTCATTCTACCTTGCCACAATGTTTCCCTTTATTTGAAAGATCATCACATCAATCTGAAGTGTTAATTCCTATTTAGTGTTCTCCATTATGTCATTGCCAATCATGTGTCAGTAATTCATAGGTTTCTTCATTTAGTTCTAATAACTCTGCATGTCCTCTCACTTTGGTTTCATTTAAGTAAATATTTGAAAGCAGTTCAGACCAGGCCTGTGAAGTTCCCTGAAATGTGACCCCCAGTCCAACTTGGTCTCCCCAGAGATGACACATCCAGGAGTCATGCCAGTCAGTCAGTGTGAGGCCCCCAGCAACCTCCAGCATACACCTCAAAGGTTCGGCCTGGTAAAAACTTACCCTAGACTGCAGATGTCAAATTTGTACAACTGTACAAACCTGCCTGGTGGGTCTTCTTTCTGTGCCCTCCTCTATGGAGGCTTTAGAAACAGACATATGTCTTATCTCCATGGAAATTATTTCATCACCTGAATCCAGTGATTCAAAAAATTGGGATTTGGGGCCAATTAAAATCTCTGCTTCCTGGACAGCTGTCTGTCTTTTCTTTTCTCTTATGTGCCTTTTTCCCCTCTCTCCCAGAGCCTAAGCTTGATTCCTACAAGGCCCAGCTCCCAAGAAAGACATCCCCCCAACTTCCAGAAGGAGCAAAGGAGGAGAATCTATACAGAAAGCATAGAGATGGGAGAGATTTGGAAGGTGGAGTATGGGAATAACAAAGACTCTGAAAGCACTTGAGCAAATCAGAAGAGTTCAAGAGTTAGTCTCATCTTTGAATTTCCAAGTTTTTCATAGTCTTTGCCTGGTAATGCCCAGCAATGGCTTTTAGAAATATAATAATTCCCATCCATAATCAGTTTTAGGAAGATGTCTCTTTCTTAGATTCTCCTTTGTATCAGCAAAGTGCCAAGTAACATGATCACCAAAACACAGAAAATCTAGCTTAGAGAAAACACGCTCTGCCTCGAATTCCCCAATAATGCACCACGTCAGTGAAATACACAGAGTGGATAGTTCATCAGCTTTTAATCGTCTTTCATTTTGCAGTTAAGATTTTTAAGTTTTACCCAGAGAACTTAACATGTGAAAGGCAGAAGTTCAAATAAAAGTAAATCTTATAAATAAAACAGAGAATTAGAGATTAAAAAAACAACAAGACTTTAACATACAGACCTAAGAGAGACAAAATAAGGGAGCTCCTATAGTCTTAGTCAACATCTAACACACTGGACCTGTTATTTCCTTACTTTTTTCTGTTTGTGACAGACAGGTGCCTAGGACGAAAAGAATATCATCCTCAAGAGAAAACCAGGAGCTCCAGTGGCTAAAGGCAGGACAGTTTGGTCCTTGGGTGGATGTGATTCAAATCTCTTAACGGTAGTCAGAGGTATGAGGATACCTTCTCCCTAGAGAAAAGAAAGAAAGGAAACATGGTAGATCAGAGTTCTGTATTCGAGGCAAACCCTGCATTCAGCTACGATGCGTTTCTGAAAGTCACACAGGAAAGAACAGCTGTGAACAATGAATTCTCTCCATTCCTTCTAAGAGCAGTAGCCCTAAATATCTCTCATACACCACTAGCAGCTCTCTTTCATTTGTAGGGCGAAATTCCAATTACTCATTCATTAATTCAACAATATTGTTTGGGGAACAATTAGAGAAGCAAAATAGAAAGGGGAAGTGAGTAAGATATTTCCTACCAATTTTCAGAGAGAGAAGGGAAACAAGTGAACCAGGTGCAGGGCCTTGGAATAGCACTCCTGTGTCTTTGATTTGTGGAGCTGAGACATGTGTAAGAGGAGCTTATGTCATCAGTTGGCAAATCCCACCACATTCCAGGATACTCTAAAGGAACTCATCCCAGGCCAAGGAAAGACTGCAGAGTGTGATTACTAGTCTGTGAGCCCTTAGTGAGAGAAGAGAGGAGGATGCCCCGATGTTTCCTGAGAAAAGGAATAAGGAGATCAGATCGTGCATTTCCATTTCAAGGTTGCAAGTTACTTTGCATCTCGGGGGGCATGATGATAAGACTCAGGAGTTAAGAGCTAACACCTATTCCAAGAGCCTACTTTGTGTTAGGAGCCAGAAAAGAGAGAGAGGGAAATATGGTTCCTGCTTGTGAGGGATTCACAGTCTTGTGACAAGATAAATAATAATGAATTTCAGTAATGCAATAAATTTGTAAATATAATGTGTTTGAGGTGCTATGGAGAGTGTGTTTTTCCAGGGCAGTCGCATCGCATTCACCCGGGGATGCCAGTTACATCAGAGTCTATATAAATGGAGCACCCTTGAATTGTAATACGCACAACCTGAGCTGCTGTATGTGGCTATCTTGTTTCTCTTTCTCCAGTTTTCACGCCATCACCTACAAGAATCAAAAGGGAGTCCCCGAGTTGCACGTGTTCCAGAGAAGTCTGCCACCCTGGCTTCCACACCTCCATCACAGAGAGTAAAAAGAGGACTTGAGAATTCTATGTGCTCCCTCTTCCCCCCACACCATTCACAGCTTTGCCATCAGCGTCTGTCTTGAAACCAGCATGCCTAATTTCTTCATGTCTTTTCTCTATTCAAGTCTAACACCACAAGAAGCCCAAGACCCCCAGGGTCTCCTTCACCCCATGGACTCTGAGCCCTATATGGCTCTGTACCTTCCCTTTTCTGACCCCATTTCCAACCCATTCCCAACTTCTGAAACCCTTCTACTGTGCCCCCTGGAACTTGCTATCAATTATCAGCAAACCCCTTCTATTCTCAACTTCTTCTGTTAACATTTTCTTCACCTTCTTGCTCTAACTGAAATTGATTCTCCTATTGCCCTTTCAAGTAGTGCTGGTTTTCTTTCCAGCATCCTTCATACACTTAGGGCAAGTGAAGTCCTTGCTTCTCATTATGCCTTCGAGATCATTCTCCCTCCCTCCTCTCTACACACCTCTAGCTTAAAATCTCATCTCATTAGACTTTTCCACTCACTACCCTTCTATGTTACAAGCTTTGTTGTTCCCCAGCAACATTCCTTGGTTTTAGCTGCTGGTTCTGTCAAGCTGTCCAACATTACTTCTGTCATAATTCTTGTTGTTACTATTTCATATATGATCCATCCATTGACCTCCTTTGGACTTAGACCTCCTTTCCTCCAAGGATCTTGTTTTCCATGTTATCTTAGCCACCTTCCCCGTGATTAGAATTAGACTTTATCATTAGCAGTAACCACAACCACTCCATTGCCTCAATTTCAAGCACTGAAACTCTCCAACCACTACCTTTCATCTTTGCAGCTCACTATCTCTAGTACCCAACTCTAAAAATTCTTTGGCTGCCATCAAGACCTAAAACCTACTGATCCCACCACTTTTTCACTTTCCTTTCTCCCCTTTTTATCCTTCATTCGTCCTAACTCAGCTTAGATCCCATTGATTATTATTGATTGATTGATTATTGTCATCATTTTCTAGCACATATTTGTCTTCCTTTGTCATACTTGCATGGCAAAACCCCAACATCTGGTTAACTTGACTTTCCTCCCATTCTGTGTCCACACATAAGCAAGTGAATGTGACCAGGGAAAAACATACAGCCATGCTGAGGGTTCTCACTTTAAATTCACAACCGTGAACCTCAAAAGTGCCTTTAGTACTGCTCAGGAAGCCTGTTATGTTTCTTTAGTTAATCTCTCCTACTCTCCTAGATGAGTATTTCATACTTTCTCCTCAAACCTTCAACACCACAATCCCCAGCCTCCCAGTCAGCTAACAACTTACCTCCTATTTCACTAAGAAAATTAGAAACAAGAAGAGAATTTCCACAAGCTCCCACACTACTCGCATTTCTGCATCTTGCCCACGTACTATCCTACCCCCTTTTACATAATCTTCCCAAGGCAAAGCCTTCTACCTGTGCATTAGCTCCCATACCCTCTGCCTACTGACAGACCATTACTCAGTAATTCTTCCCCATCTCCGGCATCATCAACTTTACCCTCTCCATTTGTTCATTATCTACATACAAAGATGCTGTTATTTCTCTCATCTAAAAAAAGAAGAGAAACAAGACCTTATAACTTACTCGGTTGATACACATTTCTCTGCTGCTCCCTTTTGAAACAAACTGTCCTCTATGTTAACTGTCCAGTGATCTATTCTCAGTCCCCAAAAGTTGCCTATGTTCCTTCTCTGAAATGATCTACTCTGTGCTCATCTTACTTGAGCCATCGGCAGCTTTTGACACAGGTGATCCCACAACGTCCTCCCTGAAACATTTTCTTCGTTCTGCTTCCAGGTCATGACACTTTCCTCAGTTCCCTTCTGCTTTACTGTCTACTCCTTCTCATTCTCGTTTGCTAGTTTCTCTTCATTGCCCTGACCTGTAAATGTTGGAGGCTCAGTGTCTGGACCCTACTCTTCTCCACCTATGACGACTCCATTGGCAATCCCATCTAGTCTCATAATTTGATATACCATCTGTAGATTGACAACTCCCAGGTTTATGTTTCAAGGCTGGACCTCTCTCCTAAACTCCAATTTCATATCCAACCACCTACTCAATATTGTCTCTCAAATACCTGAAATGAGCATCTCTAACTTAATACATCCCAAACCAAACTCCAGGACTTCCTGATCAGAATAAATGGTGACTCCACTCTTCCAGTTGCTCAGGGCAAAAGCCTTAGCCATCATTGACTCCTCTCTTTCCTTCACATCATCATCTAATCTGTCAGCAAATCCTATCTGCTCTACCTTCAAAAATATATACATAATTCCGTCTCTCTTCTCACCAATTCCACTACGACCACCTTGGACCAAATCATCATCATCTCTTACCTGGATTATTATAACAATCTCCCAACTGGTCACCTTGTTCCCATATTTGCCTCTCTTGGGTCTTTTCTCAAAAGTAGTTAGAAAGATACTTTTAAAATATAAGTCAGATCATTTCACTCCTCTGTTCAAAACCCTCCAATAGCTTTCCATGTCTTCCTATAGTATGAGCAAAAGCCAAAAGCTTTACAACGGCCTATAAGGCACCACGCAATCCAGCCTCCTGTTATCTTTCTGATATTATCTCTTATACTCTCGCATGCATTCTCTCCATTCCAACCACTGGCCTCCTTTCTGATCCTCAAATCTGTCAGCCCTTGCCCGCCTCAAGGCCTGGCTCCCTCACCTCCTTCAAGTCTTTGCTAAAATTTAACCACTTGGTGAGTCTTTCTCTAGATAGTCTATTTAAAATTGCAAACCTCCTTCCCCCCAACTCCCCTTTTTCCAATCTGCCTTCCCTGCTTTATTTTTCTCTATATGACTCTTCACCATCTGATATACTACATAAATATGTTTTGCTTTATATTGAAATGTAATATATATACAGAAAAGCGCATATAAGTGTGCAGCTCAATTAATTTTCACAAACTGAATACAGCCATGTAACTAGCACCCAGATCAAGAAACAGAATATTACCAACACCTCTGGAGTCTCCTCATTCTCTCTTCTAGCCACTAGTCCCCTTTCACACTCCAAGGGGAACAATTCCCTGACTTCTAACAGCATGGATTGATTTTGCCTATTTTTGTATTTCACATAAATGGACTCATACAGTGGCATACACATGTTTTAATGATCTGTTTATTTACAGTCCATTTCTCCCCACTTACATGCTCTTACATGGAGCATGTAAGCTCCATGAGGGCAGGGATTGGTTTTGTTCATTGCTGCATCCCCAATGCCTAAAAGAGTATCTGGCACAGAGTTGTAGCCCAACAAATATTTGATGAATGAATGAAATATTGAACAAATGGAAATGAGAGTAGGAGAGTTAAGAAGGGCTTAAAGTCTAAGCCAAATCTTGAAGGATGAGCAGGAGTCCCTAAGGCAGTCCAAGAAAAGAAAGGTATTCCAAGCATAGGCCAGAGTCTCTAAAAAGGCTCAGCAGAATTAAAAAATACACACAACCTAGAAACCACGAGGAGTCAGTAAGCTGAGAGCAATGAGCAACAGCCATGTGTTGAAAAATAGAGAGCCACGAGGCTAGAAAAACAGGCATATGTCAGATCTTAAAGGGCCTTATACAAATAAGTCCACAAAAGGAGGTGAAGAAAAGCAAAATATGGGGGCCTTTTAAGCATTTCCAGGACCTTTTTTAGGTGTTGAAATTTAGAGGGACATAAAAGAGGGAATTCCTTGAAGTCAACTCATTAACACCTTCTTCTAGTCTCAAAAGAAAGTCTGTGACCCACTGCAATGGTCAAAGACCTGTAACTACTCCTGAATATATAGGAAAGGCTTGATAACCTGTGGAATAAATAACTCCCTCTTTTCTTTCCTTTAAAGGAAAAGAAAACTCAAAATAGGATATTTAAATCTCTTGAGTCTGTCTAGTTAGTCTTATTTTATTGGAGTGGGGCAAGGAGCCAGGTGCTCTGCTTTCCTTGCCTGCTGCACATGGCTTTGAGGAGATGGCACCACATCCTCACAGGGAGGAGAGGCCAGAGATTTCCTGAGTGTCTTCACCACTCTTGAGGGCCAATGCCCTACATCAGTGGTACTTGAACTTGAGAGTGGGTCAAAATCACTGGAGGCCCTGTTAAAACATAGGCCTACCCCCAGGGTTTCTGATTCAGTAGGTCTTGGGTGGGGCCTGAATTTTGCATTTCCAGCAGGCTCCCAGATATTGCCAGTGTTGCTGGTCTGGGGGCTCTGCTTGGAGAGCCACTACCCTACCCAATGCTAGCCTCTTAAACCAGGGGAAGAGGCCCTCTGCATGCTCCTGCTGTCCCCTATTTCTCTCCATCTTAACTCCCCTCACTCTGCAGTGTTCACTCACTTAATCTACGTCTTCCCCACTAACTTGTCTACTGAATGAGGGCAGGAACTACGTCTATCTTGTTTATCTTATTGGCACCGTCTGGCACTGATTAAGCATTCTACCAATATTTGTTGAATTAATAGATGAATGACTCCAACTAGAGTTTGGGTTTGAGCCATTACATGCTTCAACAGTAGGAGAGTAGCAAAATTAATACTAAAGTTGAGTTCGCTTCTCTAGTATGTCACATACCAGTCTTTTTTCTCTCCAAATTCTCTTAACCTCAGGGCCTCCACATTTTATTTACATTTTTTAAAAAGTATACCTTTAAATAAATGGAAAGACATCATATGTTCATGAGTCAAAAGACATCATATGGTTAAGATGGTAATGCTATCCAAATTGATCTACAGATTCAACACTATCCCTGTTAAAATCCCAGCTTTTGATCAGAAAATCACATGCCAATCATAAAATTCATATGGAAATGCAAGGAATACAGAATAGCCAAAACAATTTTGAAAAAGAAGAATATGGGAGAAACCTAGAAAAGCTGAGCAACTTGCCAGAATGGATAGAGCCACCACCTTAAATACCATTCTCAGCTAAAGACAAAGGAGGATGTTGGGGGTAGTGGTTTGGGGCTTGAAAGGGGAGGAAAGAAATTTACATGGAGATGAAAATGTAAATGTTTGTTAAACAAGTGTTTACTGAGCCTGCTATAGACAATGTTATCTTATGGTATTAGCCCCTTCCTGGAACAGGTCTTGCATCTTAAATTCTTTTAGGAAGTTAGGGGGAAGTTCAAAGTTTCTTTCAGAGTCTTTTGTTCTTAAAAATAAGCAAGCCAAAGAGACACATTTTGAGGTGGCCAATTTCAATCCTCTACACCAAGCATCAAAAAGAATAAAATTCTTAGGAATAAATTTAACAAAAGAAGTTCAAGACTTAAACATTGAAAACTACAAAACATCATTGAAAGAAATTAAAGAAGACCTAAATAAATGGAAAGACATCCATGTTCATAGATTGGAAGACGACATTGCTAAAATAAGAGTACTCTCAAAATTGATCTATAGACTCAACATATTCCCTATCAAAATCCCTGGTGTCTTTTTTGCAGAATTTGACAAGCTGATCCTAAAGTTCATATGGAAATGTTAAAACAAGAAAAGCCAAAACAATCTTGAAAAAGAAGAGCAAAGTTGGAGGACTCACCTCCCTGTGTCAAAACTTACTAAAAAGCTATAGTAATCAAGACAGTCGGGTACTGGCATAAGGATAGACACATAGTTCAATGGAATGGAACTGAGAGTCCAGAAAAAAACCGACATTTATGGTCAGCTGATTTTTGGCAAGAATGTCAAGACAATTCAATGGGGAAAGAATAGTCTTTTCAATAAATGATCCTGGGAAGACTGAATATCTATACACAAAAGAATGATATCTCATACCATATACAAAAATTAACTTAAAATGGATCATAGACCTAAACATAGGAGCTAAAATCATAAAATTCTCAGAAGAAAACATAAGAGTACATCTTTGTGATCTTGGATTAGGCAATGATTTTTTAAATATGACACCAAAAGCAGAAGTGACAATAAAAATAGATAAATTGGATCTCATGAAATTCAGAAACTTTACAGTTTCAAAGGACATCATCAAGAAGTGAAAAGATAACCCACATAAGTGGAGAAAATATATGCAAATCATATATTAGATAAGGGACTGGTACCCAAACTATATAAAGAAGTCTTATAACTCAATAATAAAAAGATAAATAACCCATTTTTTTAAAATAGGAAAAGGATTTGAATGGATATTTCTCCAAAGAAGATATACAAATCACCAATAAGCACGTCATTAGCCATCAGGGAAATGCAAATCAAAACCACAATGAGATAAAATTCATACCCACTAGGATGACTAAAATAAAAAAGACAGGTAATAATGAGTGCTGACAAGGGTGTTGAGAAATTGAAACCCTCATACACTGCTGGTGGGAATGTAAAATGGTACAGCCACTTTGGAAAACAGTCTGATAATTCCTCAAAAGATTAAAAAATAGTTGCAATATGATCTAGCAATTTCACTCCTACGTATATACCAAGGTAAATAAAAACATATGTCCACACAAAAACTTGTGCACCATTGTTCATAGCAGCATCATTCATCATAGCCAAAAAGTGGAAATAACCCAAAATTTCCATCAACTGATGAATGAATAAATAAGATGTGTTATATATATCCATACAATGGAATATTATTCAGCAATAAAAATAAGTAAAGTGCTGATACAGGCTATAACATGATGAAACTTGCAAACATTATGTTGAGTGAAAGAAGTAGGTTACCACATATTGTATAACTCCATTTATATGAAAGGTTCAAATAGGTAAATCTATATAGTCAGAAAGCAGATCAGTGTTTGCCTAGGACTGAGGAATATGGTGGGAGGAATGGAGAGTGACTACTAACAAGTATGGGGTTTCTTTTCAGGGTAATGAAAATGTTCTAAAAATTAGGTAGTGGTGATGGTTGCACAACTCTGAGAATATACTAAAACAGTTGAATTGTACACTTCAAATGTATGAATTTTATGGCATGTGAATTATATTTCATAAAGATGTTAAAAAAGATTTTTTGAAGTATAGCTTTTCTGGACTATAAAAATAATACACGTTCATTATGGAATGTTGCATAAGACGGAAAAGTACAAAGAAGAAAATAAAAATTGCCTACAATCCCATCATGCAGAAGTAACCAGTAATTGTTGTTAATAACAATTATTATAACCTTTCTTTTTAATCTGCATACAGTTAAACAACTTGGGCTCATGCTACACGTACTAGATTACAACATGTTTTTTTCAACTTAAATTACATTGGGAGCTTTTCCCTAGGTCATTAAAAATTTTAGTGAATAATTTAACAGTTGTACAGTATTCACAGTTACTGGGAGATCCAGGATTGCGAAAGTGTTTTGAATGCTTCAGTTAATTGCCAGGACCATATAGACTAGACCTGAAAGGTGACCAACCAACTTTTGCATGAAGTCAGACTCCCTTAATAAGTCTCATATGGAGGCTGTACGATCTTGGACAACTATCTCAGCTCTCTGGACTTCTGTTTCCTCACTCCTGCATGCTGTGGTTAGTAGATGACGACAGCTAAAGTCCCTGCTAGATCTGACCCTCCAAGAAGGTCTGAGAAAGGATCTAAGTTAGGGACACAGGAAAGTAGAAGGAATTAGCTTATGGTACAAGTTTACTCATCATCATCACCTTCCTCTTTGAAGGAGAGGCAGGTGGAGCCATACATGGCAGCACAGATCAACCGCTCTGCCTGAGGTTCTGGATGCTATAACACAGGAACTTAATGCCCCTGAGTCAACCATATTAGAGTGGAAAAGTACCCAGGCCTTTGTTAAGCAGTTAGACCCAGGTTCAAATATATGATTTAGATCTATTCATGCAATGTATAGCATTAGATGTATAAATGCTATGTGGTATAAGAAAATAAATTACATGAAGTTTAGATTCATAAAAAATAGGTTTGAATCCTAACTCTTGTGCTTATTAACCATGTCCTTAGTCAAATTGTTTAACTTGGTTTCCTCATATAGGAAGGGGAGAGCAATAACCATTACCTTGCAGGGTTGAGGCAAGGACTTAAAATGACATATGTAAAGGGCCAGGCATGTGGTGAGAGGCTGATAAATGATAGCTATGAGTAGACATTCTGTCACATCATAAAGCTGATGTCCTTAGCAGAGAAACAGAAGCCTCACCAAGAGCAACAGCCATGTCGATCAGGGTGAAAGCTGTCAGTCCCTGAAGTGTTTTTTTTTTCAAACCCAGAGACTTCACCTCACCACCTTCTCTCGCCTCAGCCTACAAGCTTAAGTTTCTCATGGTTCTTTTACTCTCCAAAGTGCCCAGGAGTGCCTGATACATTTGGCATTCAGTAAATATTAAAGAATGATGACTTTTTTGTGGTGAAATACACCCAACTTCCACTCACTTACTTGGGTACTTGCGTATGATTCTGAAGGGCTGGTTGTTCACATCTGTCTCTGTTATGCGGCAGACATATTTCTCATTTAACTTGACAGGGTATTTCAGGATGGAGAACACCCTGTAGAAGCCATTCATCTGCTCCTCCAGGACCTCCACAGTACTGTGGTTGCTCAGATCCCTTTCTGCCCGGTCCAGCCAGGTCACATTGGGTGCAAGGTACCAGCCCTTGGAGATGCACATGGCCACGTCCTCATCATTAATCCTATCAAACTGCACCTGGGGCATTTCAGAGTCTGGTTGGAAAAAACAACAAAACAATTAGATCCTTTTTTATCCCAGACCCAGGAGGATCAGGCCAGCAGAAATCTTGCCCTGAGTTTTTACATTAACCCTTATGTAGGCAACATATCTTGAGGTCCACTGTAGTTAAAATTTAGATCCAGGCATGGCAAGAGAAAATCAGGATACACATATGCTCCTGCCCTTCAGGTCTCACCTACCACTGCTGTATTTATTTTTGGAATCTTCTCCCCTTTGAGGGGTTCATTTCAGACTCTCTGTGGACCTCAGATACCCTACTGAGAATCAGAGAAGATATCAAATGATTCTCACCACCACCTTCCCATCAATTCCAACTCTCACTCTGGAGGAATTCTGCCATGCCTCCCTCTACCCTCGTGAGATCTCTAGTGGGGAGAAGACCACTCTCTATGTAACCCTAGGAAGGGTGAGGATCCCTGGGGCATTATGGAGATCCACTGGTCCTATCCAATCCTACATTTTAAAGGTGAGAAAATGAAGCCTAGAATAGCTAAATGAGTTGTCCAAGTCATCCAGAGTTAGAATTAGAACCTCCTGACCCCCAACACAGGGCTCTTCTCACTAAACCACACACATATCTCAGAGTTTTCATGTAGGTGTATTATGTGATGAAAAATTTTGGGTTTTCAGTGTTACAATTTGTTTGGTGAGTTTGGGATAAGGCCAGTGGTTGTTTTTTTTTTTTTTTTTATGTTTTGCTGCTTATTTGAATGAATGAATGATGTAGACAGGTGTAGAAACAGCAACTTTGGTTCAGAGTAATATTTTTAGCTAAGATAAATTGCCATTCCAAATGGCAGACTCTCATGAGGGGAATGAGAAGAGCCTATAATATTTGAGGAGAAGAGAAAAAGTGAGAACACCAGAAGAGAAAACTTAGAATTTAGTGCTGTGAGCAAAAACAGAGATTGAAACCAAGTTCATCCAATAAATTCCCTTACCTTCTACTATTAGCTTAATTGTACTTTCGCCTCTTCCATATGGTGTGATGGCTGAGCACTTGTAGATAGCTTCATCCATGAAATCCACATTTCTTAATAAAAGTGATAGAGTCCCCTCAGAAATTCCAGCCCGATCTACAGAGACTCTTCCCTCATACAAGGAGTTTTGATCCTCTAGTTGCTCTGTGTTATTGTGAAACTGGTAAACCAGCTTTGAGAAAACTTCAAAAAAATCATAGTACCTGAAAAAGTGGTAATATTCTTTATCATCCTCTACCTCATATTCCTCTTTGATGTCTTCTCTTTCCCAAGAAAACTCAAGATTTTCTGGGCCCTCCACAAAGGAGAAATGGCAGGAGAGGGTAACATCAGTGAAAGGGTGAGCCTGTAACTCTTCTGTAGACACTGAGAACATCAAAGAAGAAATGAAGTTAGCAAAGTACTTATAAAGACCAGTGAACTCAGATCTTATATTCAGGTTAATAACAGATAAAAGAAATTACTCTAGCTGGAGGAATGAGCCCAAAGAAAGCATGGAAGATAAGACGTGCAATACATGTGTTCTGTCCTTTCCCACATTACGTTAGGCTCAGGACACCACTGCAGAGCTGGTCTGCCAGTGGAACTGCTGCCTCTGCCATATCAGGAAGCTGTTAAATCAGGAAGTCATCACTGCAGGCATTGGCTCCAGAGCCAAACTGCACCTGCTAGATTCACGCTGGCAAAAGAAAGGATGCCTCAGGCACTGTTACCTTTCTCCCACCTACATTAGTTGCCAATTTAATCTGATCGGCAGAGCTTATGTCATTCCCAGAGCCCAAAGTGCAAAGGAGTCTTCAAAATGTAGTTTTTTACTCTCTAGTCTTGGCAGTCCAGGAAGGCACATCAGAAAGCAGAAACAGATTTTCAGTAAATCAGTCCATTCAACCTACTGGTCTGGGCAGAGTTATCAACAGAAGCAGGTGGAGGATATGAGGAATACAGCTATGCCCTATGTACCACTCATAGACTCATGACATGGAACAGAATCCTGATATGTTAGAGCTGGAAAAAAGCTGAGAGAATTTGATTAAATCTTTAAATCTTGCCACTGACAGCCAAAGGAAGACCAAATCAGTGAGATTTCCACTCCCTTAACCACTTCAGAACAATCCTTCTCTAATTTACTTGATAATTGGGCTTCCAAGTCAGAATTCTTCTGTCAAATGTCTCTGCTACTAAAAGACAAAACTGAAAGCCAGGAAGCAAAGTTGTTCAGAGTCACAAAGTAAAATACTGGTAGCACTACAGAAAAAAATAAGATGCTGCAGAGTTTAAAAAAATTTTTTTGGGTCATAGTTACCAAACTTTTTTTTTTAAGTGAGGTAAGATTGTCCCTGAGCTAACATCTGTGCCAGTCTTCCTCTATCTTGTATGTGGGATGCTGCCTCAGCGTGGCTTGATGAGTGGTGTGTAAGTCTGCTCCCAGGATCTGAACCCATGAACCCTGGGCCACCAAAGCAGAGTGCACAGACCCAACCACCACACCACTGGGCTGGCCCCAATAGTTAACCAAACTCAAAAGAGCCTATGAAACTAATTAAATTCCCAATTTGAGTAAGACTGAATAATGAAATTGAAGCATTATGAAAGTAGAGACTACAATAAGAAGGCAATCTTGAGCCAGCCCTGATGGTCTAGATGTTCAAGTTTGGCGCTCTTACCACTTTGGTAAGTTTCCTGGTGGCAGAACCACACCACCCCTCTGTCAGTTACCATGCTGTGGTGTTGGCTCACACAGATCTAGGAGGACTTACAACTAGGATATACAACCACGCGCTGGGGGACTTCAGAGAGGAAAAAAAAAGGAAGATTGGTAACAGATGTTAGCTTAGGGCGAATCCTTCCTGATGAGGAATTTTAGTCTGGTTAATTTTAAAACGGTTTATAATGAGGATTTTTAGGCTGGTTAATTTTAAAACTACAGATGAGAAGCAGGCTCCGAGGAGTGGAATTTGCTTGTCCCTTTGTTGGGAAACATTTACATTTCTAAGGGAAACCTCTATCTGTGAAGATGCCTCCCTCTCTGTGCCAGGAAGAAGGGGGATGGCCTTATCTCTAGAAACTCTTAATCAATGCCAGAGGCCAGAACTTAAATTGGTTACTGTCTGGCAACCTCATGTAACTGACCCCCCCACCCCCAAATCCTCCTTTGTCTTTAGCTGAGGATAAAATTCAAGCGGTGACTTCTGCCATTTACTCAATCCGGTTTGATTCTTATCTAAAATTTGTGGGACCACCAAATGGCCGGACCCTACAGGCACTGACACCATTTTAACTTTTTTACATATCCTTTGTTTTGTAAAGAGATAACTCACATACCTATGCCTTAAATTTAGCCTTACTCTCCACCCAACTTTGCAGCAGCAGAAGCAGCAGCAGTGGCTCCTCCTGCCCGTGGGCCCTGTCCCCACGCAGCAGCCTGACTGCCCATGGGTCCTGTCCCCTGCTATTCTATTCTCTAAATAAAAGAGCACTACTGCCAGATCTTAAGAGTCTGAGAAATCTTTCTTTCGACTCCTCGGTTCACCGACCCTGCATCACTTCCCTGCAAAAAAAAAAAAAAGAAGGCAACATTTTTTTCTCCTGCAGACACTGTGTAGATAACAAGCATCAGAAAGGAAGAAGAGCTGGCCAATGCGAGCCTAAGTAAAGGTACTGTTTGATATAAAGAGGTGAGATGAAATAGAAGAAAAGATAGGTGAAGCACCAAGGGAAAATCTAAATGGTGAAAGTTAGTAAGCAAGGACGCTCCTAAGCCATTCCAAGGAGACATTCCAGCTGAGTAATAGATGCAATCTGCTCATTCCAGAAGGAGCAACCACGTGGCTATTGGTGGGGCTGGCCATAGACTGTCCACAGAGAGCAGAGACCATATCTTTACCGTCCTGTTTCACCAGTACCTAGCACGGGGACTTGATACAGTAAAAAAGGATCAGGCATGGCAGTTAATTTTATATGTCAATTTGACTGGGTCACAGGGTGCCCAGATATTTGGTCAAACATTATTCTGGCCATGTAGGTGAAGGTGTTTTGGATGAGATTAACATTTGAATTGGTAGACCAAGTAAAGCTGATTGTCCTGTCTCATGTGGGTGGCCCTCATCCAATCAGTTGAAGGCCTGCATAGAACGAAAACGCTGACCCTCCCTTGAGTGACAGGGTACTCCTCCTGCGGGCTGTTTGACGTGAGACTGCCGTCTTTTTCTGCTTTCAGACTCAAACTGAAACATAGGCTCTTCTTGGGTCTTGAGCCTTCAGACACAGAATAGAACTATACCATCACTTTCCTGGGTCTCCAGCTGGCCCACTGCAGATCTTGGGACTTCTTACCTCCATAATCACATGATCTCTTTATATAGCTTTGGATCGTTCTCTTTTTCTGGAGAATCTGACTAATATATAAGGTAACATTTATTAAGTGTTTACAATGTGCCAGACACATTCTAAAAGCTCTTCCCAAATTAATTCATTTAATCAGCATGCTAACACTGAAATTAAGTACTATTACATTCCCCAGTTGACCTCTAAGAAAACCAAGGCACAGTGAGGTGAAGTAAGTTGCTCAGGGACGCGCAGCTAGTGAGTGGTAGAGCTACTACTCAAACCCTGGCAGGCTGGCTCTGGAGCCCTCCATCTGAGCCATGTTCTTTCTTCTAACAGTAGGCACTTGTTTTAAGTTTGATGAATGAGTCAATGACTAATTAAATAAGTGACTGAACGAATATAAAGGAAGACAGATGAGAATGGAAAGAAGGAGGCTGGGAGAAACAACTCACATAACCTTTAGAAGGACAGATTTGCATACAAAAAACTAAGTGCTTTCTTGCTTAAATTGTTATTTGTCTGATGCGGTTATAAACAAGAAGCAGTGGACTATAGTTATCAACAAATCCTCGTCTGAAGATTTGTAAATCCAAGTTCTAGTTCTAAATCTCCCTTACTAGTCATTTGGCATCGAGCAAGTTACTTCATCTCTCTGAATTACAGTTTCCTTATGTATGACTAGGGTAAGAACACCTGCCCCAGGGTTGTTATGAAATACCTTGGGCTCTTAGGGACTGTTTTTATATGACATGGCTCAGTCATTTTCCAGAGGGACAGAAGGAGTGGACCAGATGGGTGGATACCTTGGTAAACTGCCCCTATTCCCAATCTCTCTCATAATAATATGTAGCTGACTCATGATGGGTCCTTGATCCTAGCTTCTCAGTACACCCAGGAGGTCTTGCTATAGCTGTACTCTTTCTGGCCCCAAGGGAAAGGGTCACAGATTCAGGAATCCAAAGGCCCTAGCGAATGAATCATGAAACATGGTTTACTGATGATGTAATTGGTAATAGAACAGCCAACTTCTGACTTATGTCTGCAGATGGTCCTACTTGAATCTGAATAACTTTTGTCTATTTCAATCTGTATTATTTCTAGACCATTATGTCTCTAGCTTCCCAAGGCCAAGAAGCTGAGGCAAAAGCTCAGCAAAAATCATATAATGGGGAACACACTTTGAAAACTCTAGAAAGATATTATATCTAAAGCACTTACTCTAGTACCTTGTACATAGTAGTAGATTGTCAATATTGCTATAAAATGTAAGATATTATTAAAGCTGACACACCTTTCTCTTTCTCACCTACATACACACCCATTCCTTTATTTTGTTAGGTTGTTCCTGACTATGAGTGGATTACCATCTCACTTTGCCTTACTGCCTCCTCTACACACACACACACATACACACACACACACACGCACACAGAGTAACCAAGCATCAAAAGAAAAGAGTCAGTAGACATAATCTGGGTGGACCAGGCCTTGCACTAACTCCTGAGTAGATCTATGGAGCCAGAGGATGCCTTCAAGCTGCTTCCACCTCTCAGAGACTGGCAGAACTGCTATCAGTCCCTGAGAGACGACATATGCCTGAAACTATAAATGTGTTTGATCACTATGTGGAATAGTTATATTACAGGTTTGGGATACATGTGTTTTTTTAAAAGAAATTTTTGCATGTATACTTTTGGTAGCTGAATTACATTAACATTTTGAACATCTATTTACTGTTCATCCCAACATTTTTGAAGAATTGAGTACAAAGAGTTATATAAACCCTGTGTTGACTGCTCATCCAGATTTTTCAGGACAGACCTGATTTCAAATATTTTGTGATACTATACTCTAAATCAGCACTTGTCAGAGTCACTTGAAGTCAGAGAGAGTGTCTAGTTTTGTTTTTGTTTTTTTTTTGGTTGAGGGAATTCACATTATACATGTGAATCAGTGTAGTTATCCAGATATGGCCTCAAATAGACAAACCACATTAGGAGTGTGGGGAGGCTTTTCTCATTCAAAAAAACAAAAATAGAATAAACAATAAGGCTTTACAATTTGTGTCTATTATATTTTCCCATCTGCCCTTCACCATTTCCTGCGAAACAAATATAGCATTGTTGTTCTCATCTAACAAATGAAAAGACTGAGGTTCAGAGAGATTAAATCATTTGCTTGTTTTTTTTTTTTTTTAATCTCCAAATCACTATTTTCCTCACTATCCCAAAGCTGCTTCAGAAATACAAAGTTTTTTTGAAAAGTGACTCACCGGCATCATGAACAAGTAGAAGTATGTTGACAGTCGCCAAAAAGAAAGACATTCTGTAAGGAACAAAAAGAAAGGCAGAAAATTTGCTTCCCCCAAGAAAGAGTGTGGGCCAGCAGAACGCAGCCACCACCGCTGAGTCCGAGGAACCGCCCCACAGGCACCACCTCTAAACTTCACGCCCACCAGATGCACCTTTAGCCAACAGAGGTTTCCAGCACCTCAGAATTCCACGTGGGATGCCCACTGAGTCAAGTTCACTCAGTTTGATCCTATGCAGATTTCTTCGATTTGCTATGTGAACCTGGAACTCTATCTGTCTGCAAATCTGTCTTTTTAGGTGAGTCACATGTGAATTCATTTGGATCAGAGTCAGCCCTGAGATGATATTTGAGGGGACAGTGACGGCTTCCCAGGCAACTGTTGCTGGCCTTTCTGGGCATTGCTGGGGCAAAGTCAGCAGTAGAGGGGGTATAACTGGTAGATATACAGGTGTATCTGGGAAGTTATGAAGTGATGCTTCCCAAATGGAAAAAAATAACCAAAATAGAGACAGAACTAAACGAGTCTGCCCAGCCAGGGCTGCACTTTAATGGGAATGGTATTAATGAGCCTAGGACAGCCCTGGAAGGGGTGGGATAAAGGGCTTGGGGAATGCTCAGCCCTTTTGAGAAGCCCTGACACAAATGTACATCTACATTCAGGTAAAGGCAGTCTTACTCTTGAGCTGGATCCCGTCTTCCTCTCTGGTGTCATTTCTCACTACTCCCACCACACTTCAATTCCACCAGCACCATCCCTAAGTCATGGTGCTGTCTAAACCCTCCGCACCTGGTACATCCCCCATCACCACCACCCTCATCTGCTACATCTCACTACTCACTTATCACTCAAAACTCTGCCCAAGTAGCACTTCTTCTCAGAGCCCTCCCTGATCTCTTAGCCAGTGCATCATTCCCCCTTGGATATCTTGAACATACTTTTGTCGTTGCCTGAATCACCTTGTATGGATTTATTTCTTTACATGTTATTTTATCCCTTACTATTTCAAAGAAAGAAAGGTAAGATTATCATACCCTCTCAGCATATTTTCTTGTCTCCTTTTCCTCCTGTTATCTATTAAGGAAAAAAAACCCCACCACAATCCTCTAGGTCTATGATACAGCATAATAATAGCAACTATATTTCAAATGCTTACAAATGCCAATTTTAACCTTCAGTATAAGCCTGTGAAGTAGATACCATTATTATCTCTATTTTATAGGCAAGGAAACTTAGGCAGAGAGAGGGTAAATAATTCATCCAGCATCACACAGAACCAAGATTCTCACCTTTCAGGATAGCTGAATTCTGTGCATGTCACCTAAATTCTGTCCTGACAAACCTGCAACTCACACACACCATGGGAAGTCTCATCACCCAGGGCATCCACCAAGAGAACAGGAAGCTCAGAGGCTGACAGAGCAGATGGCTTGTGGAATATTACAATGTCTCTTTCCTTGAGGCCTATTAGACCCTGGAGAATATGTGCTCTGTGGGTTGAATATTAACAGGCACAGAAGTCTTCAGAAGAATAGGATTAAGGAGCAGCCCTTGCTGATCAAGGACCAAATAAAGCATTTCTGGGGTCAGTGGGACAAGTGGAGAGATTCTTCACCAAGTCTGTATACCCTCACTAGGTATACAGCTAGTGACTGACAACTATTGATTTAGAAAATCTCTCTCTGTGGTAGATGTAGTAAAAAAATTTAAAGACACATCTAAAATAACATAAAATTTAAAACGTAATATTCCAGCAAGCAGCTAATAGAGCTATAGATAGTTAACAGAGAGAGATTATAGTCAAATGTCATAGGGAAAAAAGGTAGGAATATAATATTCCTTTTCAACTCAATAAAATTTCATTATCTATATCCAAGATGGAAAATTTTTCACTATGAAAGACATAAATTCTAAAGCCTTCCCTATTCCCCATCCCAGTCAGATATAATCTTTGCTCCTCTGCGCTTCCACTGTATTTTGTACTTTTATATAGTACTCTCACTTGTTTAATAAATCTTATTTTTACTGATTCTAATAGTAACTCAGATGTATTATAAAAAAAAGTTTGAAAAAATAGAAAAGAACAAAGAAGAATATTGCAATTACTTTTAAGTCCATCAGCCAGACAACCAATATTACCATTTTGCAGTATTCTCTTTCAGTCTTTTATATGCTCACCTTTTAAGACAACTCAATTTGTATACACAGGTTAGCGTCCAGTTTAATTTTCCTCATGACACTATTTTGTAAGCACTTCTCCATCATTAAATATTCATATAACCTGGTCTACTTTTAGCTATTTGCACGCATATCTTATCACCCCTACCACACTGTAAGTTTCCTACAGGCAGGGCTAAGTCCTCCGTGTCTTCCATACATCCATCACTGTGCTCCATATGTTCGAGGCACTCAATAAGTGTTTACTGCATTAACTGAACTAAATTGAATTTAGTATAACGTTCTTACAAAGGTTTACTATATAACTGGAAAAAGAAAAAATAAATTCATATAGTGCTGAAGATAACAATCAACTACGCCAAAACAGAAAATTTCAGCAGTACATCCTGGAATTCCTCCAGCACTTGTACCCTTTTCACCTCTCATTTACAGAAAAACTATGAGAAGTCTATGAACCAGCTCTATGTGGAGACATAAGTGTAAAGGGACCAGAGACAGGAGGAGTAGATACCTAAACGCTTCAGTCACCTCATCCGTCATTTCGCTCTTGAGTTCAGTCAAGATTTCTCCGGTCAACTATTTCTCCTAAATAAACAGTCTCTTTATTGAAACAGCTTACCTGTATCACAGCTGGTTTCCCTGATCAGCCAGGTGAGAAGCAAGTGAGGTGGAGTCAGCACGTCTTGGAAGGCACAGTTGTGTGGCAGCCCCCAGGGAGAAGGCTTGGTGACACTGTTATTACCAAGCTGTTGCGGCAAAATCTTGGCAAAGAGCTCCGTGAGACTTAATATTTCTTATAGCTGCATTTGTTGGCTAAAAAAGTGTTTGCAAGGAATTGTGGTGGAAGAGTGGAGCTAAAACAACACCATGATGTCCAACAGTGGGGCATCATTCTGAGCTTGTTTTAAACAATCACATTTTTGAAGAAAAATTAAATAACAGAAAATACTCACTATATAATTTTTAGTGAGAAAAATCAAAATATAAAACTTAATATATGTTTACACGTATGTATGATTTCAACTTTGTGGGACAAAACGTACGCATATAGAAAAGGAAGAAAATACACCAAAATGTTAGCAGTGGTTACTCTTAGATGGTGAGGTTATGTGTGATTTTATTGTTTTCATCACATGACTGAATTTCCTATAATAACCTTTTACATTTACATTACAATAAATACTTTATAAGCAGAAAAATAAAGACATGGACAGAAAGACCTTACATACATGATGTGGTACAGAGTGTGAGGGCAGAGGAAGGAAAGCAAATGAAATTTATTCTCTATTCTCTTCCTCTTAGGGATAAGGATGGTTTGTGCCTCCCATTCAAATCTTTCCAATTTACCTTTAGGCTCAAGTTCAGTAGTGGCCAGCTCTTTATTAGGGTGCCCTTCCCTCTCCACCCCCCCCCCCCCCCCCCAGCACATGGATTACTGGGTCTGGGTCTGAACTGGGTTGACCTGGTTCTTATACTCAGCACACAACCCAGGTGAGCTATAGACAAGGGTTTGAAGGAACATTTCTTCTGGTAAACAGACTTACTAGAACAGAGCAGATAATATTAACACAAGATCAGGAGGCCTCCTGCTGGGAATCAGGGCCTGACACAGTTTCACCCTGTATCCCTCACCCCACCTGACTGTGAACGGAGTAGCTAGTCCCTCACCTTGGGTCTCCGGAACCTCTCAGTTCCTCTAATCACTTTTAGTGGCTAAGTGAAGGAAACACCTGTGAAGTTTCAAAATAAACTTAAAGCTACATCCATTAACCTGAAGTCTTGAGGGATGCCTTGTTTTTAAAGCTCCTACAACATATAGCATAGATTTTTCACATAGTATGCTCAATAAAAGAACTGGGGAATGGAATGAAATAATTGCTATCAATTCATATCACTTTTCTGATTTATGCTACGGGGCTCGAGTCTTGACTTCCACCCTGAGGAAGAGGAAGAACGTCCTGACGCTACCACAGTATTGAGAAACCTTGAAGAATACTTTGTACTCAGAAATAAGGCTTTTTCTACAGATGCCACATTCCACTGACTCCCCCAAGCCTGGCAGTCTGTCTTTTCCTGAATGTACCAAGCCTGGCAGTCTTTTCATGTATGTCTACATGAGCTAATGAGGAAATGGGATTTAGAGCTTCCAGTAAGGAAAGAAGCAGAGACGATCTCCCCACCTGGTATTCATACCTCTCCACCATGATCTAGACCAACTTATCATTTCAAGCTTTACTCCTCCTTTACACCACGTCATAACAGTACACCTTAGATTTGGGGGATACTTAGAATTTTAAATCTTTTCTCCTATATTCTACGAAGTGTGGCAATTCCTGGCTATACCAGCACCAAGCACACCAGCCAAATGAGACCCTTCACCATTTCCTAGACACATGCTGTAATTTCCTTCTTGCTTTTGCCATTCTTTCTCAAGAAATACCTCTTCTTTTCCTTTCCCCCAATTTCATAATGCCTCACCCCATTTATATCAAAATTCCGCCATCCAATGAAGGCTTTCCTGATTGCAGCGGCCTGAAATGGTCTCTTTCCTCTGAATTTTCATAGTATTTGGTTATGCCTCTGTATGACAGTTATCAAATGCTCCTTTATATTTTAGTTACTTTGGGTTTGTAACAGCTTTATTGAGATAAAATTCACATACCATACCACAATTCATCTACTTAAAGTTTATAATTCAATGGTTTTAGTATATTCTCCAAGTTGTGCAACCGTCGCAATCAATTTTAGAACATTTCATCACTCTAAAAAGAAACTCTGTGCCTATTAGCAGTCACTCCTCATTGTTCCTTCCTCCAGCCCCTGGCAACCACTAATCCATTTTCTGTTTCTATAAATTTGCCTATTTTTGATATTTCATATAAATGGCATCATACATTATGTGATCCTTTGTTACTGAGGTCTTTCACTTATGTGTTTTCAAAATTTATCCATGTTGTAACACGTATTAGTACTTTATTTACTTTTGTTGCTAAATAGTATTCCACTGTATGGGTATCCACATTTTATTTATCTATTCATCAGTTGATAGAAATTTGGGTCGTTTCCACTTTTTGGCTATGATGAATAACACCGCTATGATCATTCATGTACAAGTTTTTGTGTGGACATGTTTTCAGTTCTCTTAGATACATATCTAGGAGTGGAATTGCTGGGTCACATGGTGATTCTACTTTTTGAATCTGTGAGGAAATAGACTGTTTTCAAAGTGGCTGCACCATATTACATTCCCACCAGCAGTGTACGAAGATTCCAATTTCTCCACATCCTCACCGGCACTCAAATCTATCTTGGTTCTAGCCATCCTAACAGGTATGGGTGGTATTTCTTTGTGGTTTTGATTCGCATTTACCAATGATATTGAGGAACTTTTCACGTGCTTATTGGCTATTTGTATATCTTCTTTGGAGAAATGTCTATCAGATCCTTTGCCCATTTTTAAGTTGGATTACTTGTTTTTTTAATGGGTTCATGTTTAATCTGTTACTATACTCTAAGTCTCTTGAAGGCAATGACTATTTGGACAAAATCATAACACTGGAGTCATATTCCACTATTTTGGTATCCAGCCCCATCATAACTGTATGACTTGGCAAGTTACTTAATTTTCCCACATCTCAGTTTTCTTGTCTGTAAAATGGGGATAATAATGCCTACCTTATAGAATGAGGACTAAATAAAATAATGACTACAAAGCTCATAGGACAGTGTCTGGCACTTAGAAAACAATCAATAAATGTCAGCTATTATTTTTAGTTGTCTCTATACATTTCCAATGTATAGTTCAGTTTCTTACACACAAGAGATGCTCAATGAGTATTTGCAAATGAATAAATTGGTGACTAAGAGTACTTTAGCTTGTTTATTAGATGTTGTTATGACTAGCTATCTGTGAAAAGGTAAAACAACACAATTGTGGAACATAGACTGAACAAGCGGAAAAAATTAAAAAGATTTACAGCCACTCAAATTCCCAAAACAATCACCAAGGAAAACACCTCACCAGTGTGAGAAAAACCATAAATGGAGTGAATTCAATGGAAGCAGTCATGAGGATGCTTTTATAGCTCTAATAAATGCTTCGCCAAAGACACCCATCCAAAAATGTCACATCATTATTTGAATCTTCAAAATAAAGGGAGAGCAAACTTCAATAAAGATTGATTTGGGGAAAGATACTCAGAAAAGCTTAATCTACCAATTAATCTTAGTCTATCAATTCTACAGTAACGATAAACTGAGGCAGAAGGAACTGTTAATGATAACCAAACTGTAGACCTTAAATGACAAACTGGCTGCAGACCCACTCCAGGCCCCTGTATATAGAGAGGCCGATGCCTTCTCAGGATGGATAGTAAGACTACAGCTCCCTCTGCCTTCAATGCTGCCTTAAACAGAGAGTAAGTGGTTGTCTGAGATTTGGACTACAGTTGTAGGAAGATGGCAGAATTTTAAACCATCCCAGGCCAAACTGGATAAGCCAAACTGAGAGGGATTCAGCAATGGAAATAACTGAAAACGCTACATGCCAGGCTAAGCAACTGGCCTTCATCTGATAACTAATGAGGAGACACGGGGTCAGGGAAGGAGGAAGAGAGATGGATTGAAATAGTGGAAGCAGTGCTGCAGAAAGGCTATCTGAACCAGAGGTGGCTGGAAGACAGGTAGAAATCCAGTTTGGGAGCCATAATGTCTTGATATAACTAGGAGATAGGACAATAAACATAGATCTTGGGAATCGAGACTCAGGGGCAAGGAGAGTCCACATCAATCTCTCAAATTTAATCCCTAAAACATGGCATGGTCCAGAGCAGAGAGCCATCATGAGTAAAGATTGTTCTCAATTTCATTTCTCTTTACCCTGATCACAATCTAACATGCAGGAGAGAGTAATAATTATAACAATAACTACTATTACTATTACTGTTAATAATAATTGCCACTACTTATGGAGTATTTACTTCGTGATAGGTACTACGCTGAGCACTTGAGACTTAAGCCCTATAATGACCCTATGAAACATAATATTCTTCATAATCAAATGATGAAATCAAGGCTTAAGGAGATTAAGTAAAAAAATCAAGATTAAGTAAGAGAAACCTAATTTCCAGAGGTGGGATTTGAACCCTCTATCTGATAAAAGCCAAAGCCCACGCTTTAACTATATCAGTACGTTGCCTCCCAGCAAGTATGGTTTATGAAAGGATTCTCCACAGTTTATTTCTTGATTTCTGGAGTCAATTAGGCAACCAGGGGCCATCTTAGTCAGGTATGCCAAAACCCACTCATGCATTTATTTCATTCACACATGATTTACTGAGTGCCTACTATGCCTCAGGGGCAGTGCCATGGTGAATACCCACAGTTTCTGCCCTCAGGAAACCCAGACAGGTGGCTGAAGGAGGAAGTGCCCTTCATTTGATCTTCTTTCTTTTTTCGATAACATTCTAGTCAGGTGACACATCCTGAAATATGGTCAATTTGACCCAAGAGTAGCTTAATGGTGAAGATTTGATAAGAGGACAACTATGCCATGCACCTTCCCAATTCCCTAACACCCATATCTCTTTCCCTGGATAATGCATTACGTTGTCTCTGCCTCCCTCACACTCTCCAGCATCCCACTGCCTCTCTGGCATCTCCTTCAGGGAGCCACAAGACATCCCATCACCGCGAAGGTCCAAGCCCCCAAAGCTCCTTCACCTCCAAGAGGGTCTTAGAACTCTCCAGGCTGCTTGGGTAGTTTCAAGGCCCACCATATAGTGTTGGGGGAAGCTGCTTAATTTAGACCCATGTGCCTGCAAGGTTAAGAGATGCATCCATGGTTGCTGAGACAGAGAGGGCTTCTCGTAATGAGCAATGAGGGGATTCTCACATTAATCTAAACATTTCTTCAAAACTTCCTATCAGGTAGCTTCATTCTCTATTATGGAGGCTATTTCCATCTTTCCCCCTTAATTTCATTAATTGGTAATCTTAACTCTATTTCTGAATCACACTCGAATTATTTTTCTGTATTTTAAATTACATTCCTGTCACTTTTTTACCACAGAAGCATTTTTTAAAGAATAAAACTGAACTATTTTAAATATTTGCGATTTTCACATATCAGGGTTCCTGCCAGAATGTGATCTTGATCCAAAACAAGGTCTAATTTTTAAAACGTCCCTTTCAAAACAAGTTTCAAGAGCAGGAAACCCTATCGCTTTAAAAAACATTCTATTCCTGGTTTAAATTAACAAAGTTTATCTTCCCACAACTATTACTCAGCCAGAAACTAAAGTTTGGCAGCAGGTAAGAGACATAAAGCTTCTCACACAAATCACCTCCTTTTTAGAAGGAAAGCAATTTAATCTCATTGATTATACAC